CAAAGCACAGGGCGCTGCCCCCTTGTGGGCCCGGCCACCAGGCACTCGCCTGCGAGCCCCAACCCCGGGCCTGGCTCCAGGGTGGGGCCTCGGTGACGTCAATCTGGGCGACGTGAACCTCTTTGATGTTGTTGTTTTCTTCATCAAGGTGGGGGTTTGAACTGCTATTTGTCTGATCCGTCGCTTAGAACCTGTTTGCCTTGGGAGACCCTACCAGGGGCAAATAAACCCCCGACAACATAGCTCCTAGGTTCATTCAGATACTCAAACCCCTCCACCACGTTAAGGTTGCGGTTCAAGGAGGGGGCACTGACCATAAAAAAAAAATCTTGTTTTTTTTTTTTTTTTTTTTTTTTGTCACAGGGCAGCTTGAACATCATGCATCATGCGATCAACAACCACACTAAAATAGTGGAGTAAATTATAGATTGCCTACAGATGAAAGAACTGGACATAGAAGATCAGGTATAACTGTTTAAGAATGAGAATTATTTTTTCTACAGAGAATAACCACATGAGGGTCAAAGTCAGAGTGTTTAATTCTCTCAGCCATCCCTAACGGCTTTAACAAGAGGTATTGTTAAATCCTTCTTCTCATCTTCTCATTGTTAAGCTGTCAAATTTCATTTAATAAGAGTTTTTCAATCCTCCATGATAAAGAATTTTGAAATCAGCGCAAACACTATTTAAACCAATTTAATTACAGGAAATAGAACTCTGTTAAAAAGATTTTAATTTCAGTCCAGACGGAAATGGATGGATGGATGGATGATAGATAGATACTGTAAATAGATAGATAGATAGATAGAAAGATAGATAGAAAGATAGATAGATAGATAGATAGAAAGATAGATAGATAGATAGATAGATAGATAGAAAGATAGAGAGCAAGATAGATTGATAGATAGCTAGATAGATAGATAGATAGATAGATACCTGTTTTGTCTCTGAGGATAGAGTTAAAGTAAAGTTCATTTAATTAAAATTTTGTTCTAAGAAGTGTAAAGTCATGGATGTTTTCTCAGGATTATTCAAGTATGGGTCTGATATAATTACTTCACCACCCCAGTGTTTTATTTATTGTCCGTTTGGCAGGAGGATGAGACCGCTCTGTAAAGATCATATCTCCTTGTTTTAGTTCAGCTGCACTGCCCTGCATCCAGTGTCAGAGAGAGGCGACAACACTCTTGTCCAAATCCTTTTGTACTTCAAAGCTAACACTGACTTTCAGAATCAGGCAAGTATAGGAGCCAGCGGTGCACACCATCAGAAATGTACCCTTACAATAAACACACCAACTGTGCTGCTCATACACACTCATGTGTTACTATGTGTTACTATTATAGTGTTTTATGGAAATAAAGCCGTACTGTGTAAAACCAGGTCCCCATCCTTAGGTTCAGTGGATGATTTAGAATGAACCTCAACAATGCTGAATTGAACTCAACTTTAAATATTATTGTTGATATTCTCTATTTATTCGTATCATTTATCTAAGTAAAAGTTTCTGCTCACCTCTGCTGCTGGTTGTTTTACCAACTGCTCTATTTCCCTCCGTCACCCTGCATAATTATAGTGATTTTATTTAAATATTCAATTTATTTAAATTTCATTATAATTATTCAAATATTTTATTATTGTCAGTAACTGTAACAGTATTGTAACAATGTAACGTCATTATTAAATAACAGTATTTTAACACTATTGTTCCCATCATTGAAAAAATCAAGTATAAGCAACACTGTAGTTTATGCTTTAGCTTGTTTTCAGCACATGGAAACTCCTCTCCACCTTGTCACTGATTCTTGAACATTGTTCGCAAGAATTTGCTGATACTGACTGGAATACATGCGACCTTCAACTTTAACAAGATTGCCAGCACCTGCACTGGCCACACAGCCCCACAGCATGATGGAACCACCACCAAATTTAACTGTGGGTAGCAAGTGTTTGTCTTAGAATGCTGTGTTCTTCTTCCGCCATGCATACTGCCCCTTGTTATGTCCAAATAACTCAATTTTAGTTTCATCAGTCCACAGCACCTTATTCCAAAATGAAGCTGGCTTGTCCAAATGTGCTTTAGCATACCTCAAGTGACTCGTTTTGTGGCATGGGTGCAGAAAATGCTTCTGCCACATTACTCTCCCATACAGCATGTCCTTGTGCAAAGTGCGCTGAATAGTTGAACGATGCACAGTGACACCATCTGCAGCAAGATCATGTTGTAGGTCTTTGGAGCTGGTCTGTGGGTTGAGTTTGACGGTTCTCACCATCCTTCGTCTCTGCTTATCTGAGATTTTTCTTGGCCTACCACTACGGGCCTTACTAGA